AAAAAAGAATAAAAATTGTCATCTTGAGTCACACAGTTTGACTTGATTATACAATTAATTATGACACATCAAATTACAATCTTACAAGTTAATGAATGTAATAAATTTTATCTAATGTTGTATAAGTTGTTTATATTTAAAATGAATGAAATCATTATATATAAATTTTTAATTTATCTATGTTTTTATAATGATTTCATTCATTTTAAATATATACACTAATGTTTCAATTTTAATTTGTATTCAGATTATAATGTACTTTGGTATAAAGATCAAAGTGGTATGTAATTTTTAATATATAGAATACTTTCCATAAGTTATTTTTATACAATGTATCAATAGAAAGTTTTTGGAATATTTGAAAATCTTTAAGACCATCAGTCAAATCTAAGTCAAAGATGGGGGAAAAAAATATAAAATAAGTTTAATTCATTAATTTATTCACAACACATTTTCTAAACATACATTGTTAATGTTCATTTTTACAGATTTACTCTACAGTCAGACTTTCATAAAATAAACTCTTTTGAACTCTCTAAATTATTATTCAGCATACAATTTCTAGTAACTTACCTTTATTATTACATAAGATTTTTTTGCTAAAGAATAATTTGAGTCAGTTATTAATAATTTATTACAAAAATTTAGTTAAAAACAAAACATTCTTATATATTTCTAAAGTGCTTACAGAACTAGTTACTGATTGATTTATAATTACTTTGTGCACTTAATTTTAGATTTCTCATTGAATTTATATTAAAGTGAAAGTGTTTTTATATTAAAAACTATTTTATTTCAAAATTTGTTTCTTTAAAATTAAAAAAATTTTCAATATTTTCAATACAGTTTGTATTTGTTTTACTTTTTTAAAACCATGTTTGCCTAAATTGTGGCCCATTGTAATGTTACTCTTGATCAAAGTGGCCTGCAAAACAATTTGGGTTGGCCAGGCCTGACTTAAATAATAATTCTAAATCAGTTCGGCCTAGGACAAACTAGTTAAGCCTAAAGTATTTAGGCCAAACTAGATTGTTCTAGGCTAAACTAGTATNGGCCCATTGTAATGTTACTCTTGATCAAAGTGGCCTGCAAAACAATTTGGGTTGGCCAGGCCTGACTTAAATAATAATTCTAAATCAGTTCGGCCTAGGACAAACTAGTTAAGCCTAAAGTATTTAGGCCAAACTAGATTGTTCTAGGCTAAACTAGTATACCCTGACATGCGTAGAATAAACTAGTTTGGCCTGAAATCGGGTTTGGCCAGAAACATATATGCAGTCTTTCATTTTTATTAGTTATGTTTTTTTGTTGTGGGGCTACAGAATCTGTCTAATGTTGATTGCTTTTCTCTCTTCTTCAGGATTTTCATAAGTAATTAATAGCCTTGTAATTGTAGAGATCCCCAAGCCTATTAACCTCAACCTGGTTTGTATGCCATTCTAAGACCATTGATCTGACATCCCCCACTTCTTCAAAAGATCTTTAATTAATAGCAGATATCAGCATTAATCCTCTTTTTCATAATAAAATGTATCTCGCCGAGTTTCTTGGTGTTCTTCATTGAAGAGTTCTTGGCGTTCTTCTGTTGTCAGATCCGTTTCAGGTTCCATTATAAGCTCTTCAATGTTCTTTATTTCTCAGAAGTGATTTTTGTTACTCCTTTAGCTGCTTGAGTCTTCTTGATTATACTGTATCTTTCTTAGATAAGATTGAACTGTGCTCTACTGTAGTTTTGTTCAAGCCATACTGCCCAGCAACATCAGACATCTGCCCACTCTCTACCTTTGCTATTTTACCTTTCAAAAATAAAACACAACGCAAAACTTAACGAGTGCCCACCTGACAGTCTCACTAATACTATAAAAGAATTGTTTCTGTCAGAAAAATAAAAGGCTGGAATTACAAGGGAGAGTTTCAAAGTTTGGAGGAATACTATCTGATGAGTATATTCGGGTTGAGCGTCAATGTCGATGTTTCCAGCGCCCTGAAAAGCTTCGAACTGTTGCCTGAAGACAAGGGAAAATCAATTGGTATTTGCTATTTTCTTTGCTTCTTTTTATGTTTGTTCAATGAAGTGTTCGTTATCCAAACATTTGTTTGTTGTCCATTCATAAAAATCTTTCACGATAGTGTCCGTTATCTAATTTGTTCATTAACCGATCACACACTGTATTTCCATGATCCATTTTATTTCGTAAAAAGGAACTGGTCTTTGTGTCATCAGCCATCCCATACCTACGCTCCCCTTCATTACATATATGTCAAGCCTTTAGAAAATTCAGGTATATACTACTACTAACTCTCCAGTCCACATTGTTTAGGATACTTTGCAATGATAGAGAGGGGGTTACACTTTTTGCAAAATGCACTAACTGGGTCAAATTTATTATATATATGTGCAACTATCAGAATGCTCTGTGTCTGTCTAGCAGAGCATTGTGAAGACATTACACGTGGGACATGTTCAACAGAGATAGTCAAAAAAGTGATGGAATATAACTTTGATCCTCTTTGATCACAAGTTTCTCTGGTAACACACTTTGGGGATAGGAGAGTTTTGTTCACTTGTGAGTCTCTGTTTATTACATCAACATTCCCACCAGTGCCGGCCCGAGGCAAGTTTTAAGATGGAGCGAGATCCTATTATGGCGCCCCCTTGGTCAGTAGCGTAGCGAACATAACTGGCGCTGGGGGCACGACACTTTATTGGCGCCCCCTCCAGAAACATATAGTTTGTCTTGGAGACCATTTGGGCACCCCTCTGTGAGTGGCGCCCGGTGCTTGATGCACCCCCTCACTACGCCACTGCCCTTGGTTGCCCCCAAATTTATGCCCTTTAATTTTCTTTACCACTGAGGCGCCCCCTAGGACTTAGCGCCTGGAGCGGCTGCTCTTTTCGCCCTATGGTAGGGCCGACTCTGATTCCCACTCAACTTTCTCACACTTGATATTCCAGAGCTATGGGTTGTGCTGTTCAACTTGCTAAAATCATAGGTCACGCAGTTGTGACAAGGGAGCTCCAGTGTTTAAATTTTCTTTATATTCTTATCAATTATTTCTGTGTATTTTAATTATGTTATTTTTGTTAACCATTGCCATCATACATTATGTTTATAGAGACAAAGTGATAAGTATACCAAACATAAAAACATATTTTAAGATTTTCTTAAATTTTGTAAATTTAAAAATTTTTGTTCTGGAAATTTTATCTAATATCAATATATTTCAATTATCAATTAATACAATCATTAAGAAATGAAACAATAAATCAAAAATGAATATTGAAGTCATCTTGAGTCACACAGTTTGACTTGATTATACAATTAATTATGACACATCAAATTACAATCTTACAAGTTAATGAATGTAATAAATTTTATCTAATGTTGTATAAGTTGTTTATATTTAAAATGAATGAAATCATTATATATAAATTTTTAATTTATCTNAAACAACTTTTGAAAACAGATTTATAAAAAGGATCCTAATTAACTTATTAATTTGGCAAGACCTTTTTGAAATAATTTTTGCTGCTTATTCTAGAACATCTTATAGCATGATTCATTTTATAGTTTATTAATTTAAATTACATTTATATTTGATATCAATAATAATTTAGACTATTTATAAAGCATTTTTTACCTGTCTTGACATACTGATTTAAATTACTGTATTATTAGATTTTAAAAAAATTAATAAATAATACTTTTATAAATAAACTCAATATAAATTAACATTTTATATTTTTTGTTTTTTTAACAATTTTATAATATATTTAAAAATTATTCCTATTTTATGTTTCATTAATATTTATAATAAATACAACCTATATATAATAAATATAACTGAAGTTAACATAACCTAAAATTTAAAAATCCACCAAAAAACAAAAAAAATGTTTGCGTAACAATTCCGCAATTATGTAATCTTAATTCCTGAAAATTACATATTAAATCCAGAATTTCAGAAAAATCAATCAAGTTTTACTCAAACCTTTAGTTAGATTAATTATATGTTTACAAATTCCTATAAAGCTTTGCTTTCACAACCAGTTTTTGATACGTACTGATAAAAATATAAACATCATAAATTAAGTCAATCTACTATGCATATGTAGCTAGAACTATTTCCAAGACTAACGGCACAAAACCTTTCTCACTAATTTCTAGCCTTATTAACTGGAGTACAAACGTTTTCGGCCTTCTAGTGTACCCGAGGAAGGCCTATTAAGAAGGCCGAAAACATTTGTACTCCAGTTAATAAGGCTAGAAATTAGTGAGAAAGGTTTTGTGCCGTTAGTCTTAAGTCAATCACTTTTCCTTCAAAATTTATTTTTTGTTAAAAAGTATTTTTGTACAGTACATGTAACATGTAGCTAACAAACTTCAGCATAATTCATAGATTCAATACTCTTAAAACAACATCTTTTGCAATAAATTTACTTTTTCTTGTATATTTTTCTAAGTTACAATAACTAATAGTAATTCAGAAGGTTTTTACCTATCAAAAGAGTATTATCTATTTTATATAATAGATAACTTATAAAAATGAGATTTCTTTCAACAATTAACTTGTACAGTACACTAGTTTACACCTAGCAAAATTTCTGTAAATTTGCTAACTTATAAACCAATTAATGAATTAATATAATAATATATTTACGAAGTTACCTGAAGCTGAATAGGCACTGTCAATGACTAAAATTGCAAGTCACGACGAATTCTGCGAAACACGTCTTGTTTACTGAACGTTAGAAAAGAACATCGCAGTTGGCAAAAGCATTTATTGCTAAAGTTAGTCTGTTTCTTAATATAAAATTGAATACAAAGGACCGTCGAATGGTTATTCTTTTACGTGATCTAACTATATCAAATATTGTGATTGGTTCTCATTCATTTCATAGACGACAATATACCAATTAGAGTCAACGTGACATGCTGCATTAGTTTGATCATTTTAAACTTTATTTTTTAGTTAGTAAATTAATTTTAAACACTTACCAAAATAATATATTGACGGCGATTAAGACGACAGCACTAATGTAAGGCCGTTCCCATATTAAAAGGGCCTGAATAGGAATGATGTATTGTTCGAGCTTACTTATCAAAGACGCAAAACTACTTTCGGGCCTAACTAACTCTTCGTTCCTTTCCTCACGTGTTTGAATCATTTGTACTAAATAATTATATAAATTTTCCATTGATTTAATCAATCTGTTTATATATGAACTCATTTAGGACACAACTTCCACTTATTTAAAGCGTATAATCCAATTGACACAAATATTAAATCACTCTCTCATTTCGAAACTAATTTTTTTCCACAGGTGGCGCTTTAACGATATTTGCAAAATATATCATTTGGTTTTTTTTAAAAAATCGATTTTTTAAATTAACTTATTTTTGTATAGTTAATTTAGATTAATTATTATGAATAATAACTACGCATTTTAAAATGAAAATACAAAATATTACAAGCTAATAAGTAAAGTAATAAATTTCTGAAGTTTTAATGAAGTACAGTACTGTATGGAAATTCGAAAATTCATACTGTACGAAACGATCGCGTTATTTTAAGTGTATTACATATATTGATGGGGAAAATTGTTTTAAATGTTATAATTTTGAGGAAATTTCGAAACTGGTTAGAGGAAATAGTGATATATTCATTTAACATTATTATCCTTGACCGTGACCATGATTCTCCACGCGAATCTAACGTAAAGTTAATCGAAGCAGAATTACTCGTCCAAATTAATGGAATAAATTGCATTGCATTTTTTCTTAAATTCATATTTTAATATATTTGCTTATTTACTTCTATAATTATATTCCACATTTTCCTGCTATTTATCAGAAGAAACTAATGGTTTTAAGCAGTCGGAAGTTCGAATTTTTAAATAGTCGATTCTTCTGACGGCCAGATAGCCGAGCGGTTAAGGTGACGGCCTACCGCTCTGGAGGTTCCGGTATCGAATCCAAACGAGTCGAATAATCCCCAGGAATTTTTCGGGGGTAGGCCGTCTGGATATGTCGGGCCCAGTCCCTCACCACCCAACCGCCTTTTTTAAAACTTTTTCCGCCATATGGGCATTAAAAGGACCTCTTTAAGCAAGCCCATTATGGGTTCAGCCAGGCCCACAATGGAGCGGCCGTGGTGAAAGACAGGGGCCAACATATCCAGACGGACCACCCCCCGAAAAATTCCTGGGGATTATTGGACTCATTTGGATTCGATTCCGGTCTCCCAGAACGTAGACCGCTCGGCCATCCTGCCCCCAGCTGCCCCATTGTGGGCCTGGCCGAACCTATAATGGGCTTGCTAATGAAGGCCCTCTTAGTACCTACAGAGAGTTTTTAAAAAAGCCATTTTTCTGTATATTTTTTTTTAAAACAGAAGATAGACTTATTAAGAGGAATTATTACAAGTTGTGCTCTCAATCATAACTTTGATTATATACCGTAGACTGGTGTTACTTTGTGACAAGTAGGGTAACTTTAGGACAATCACTGTTTTGAATGAATTTAAATTAAATGCCACTGCCATTTCAATGATATACAAACTGTTGTCTTTGGTTCTAATACTCCGACTATGCTGCCACATAATGTCAAGGCCCAGAAGCTCTGTTTGTTTTCCTGCCTTTTAGGCAGCCATTTTTAGTTAGGTTACATTTTCTTTGATCAACACATGCTCCAGAAACTTTCATCTGTTGAGAAAACTCTAGTTTCTATTGAAAACAAAGATAAATATTTTGAAATAAATAACTATTATCTATTATAATCAAATGTTTGATAATATTTAAAAATAATTATTTGATTATAAAAAATACTTTATTGAAAAATCTAACATATAAGGGGCAACTTTGCGACTGTAGCAAACTCACCCAGTGAGCTTTAAGGAACGATAAATCAGATGAGGACACTCCAAGTGATGACATGAACTTGGCAACGGTTCCTTATGCGGAGTCTGACGACAGTATGACGTGGGTACCTGGGGAAATAGAAGACGAGCATCCTTTCACTCCTCTACAATCAATCGATGATAGATTACAACACGATTTAAAATATTTATCTGAGGGAACGTTTGTTTTAATAAATTATGAAGGTGTTCTTTATCCTGGACTGATATTAAAACAGAAAAAGATACTCAATAAGGGCTATGGAGAAAAATGGTTGTATTTGGAAATGGCCAAATAAGGACAACATCCTGGACTATACAGTAGATATAGTGCAAGCCACCCAAAAAGATAAGTCGCCAGGATATTTATTGTGTAAAATAACTATTAAATTATCTATCCTGAACATTATGTACAATTTGGTTTCATTTGTTTCACCGCTAATATGATTGATATATATATAATATGTATATAGCCTATATATATACACAGTAAGACCCCGCTTAATGCAGGGGACTATTTTTGATAAATAAAGATTGGTGACAGTCTAACGTTGCGACAATCCTACTTTTATACTGTTAAAAAAACACTTTGTCCTAAAGTTACCCCTACTTAAAGGGTAACTTTAGGACAAGAAAAAGGTGGGAGTATTTTTAAACGCTTGACCTGGGAGTGAAAATATTGGTGAATTTCAAGAAATCATCATCATATTTACCTAACACAATGCAAAACGGTTCGTAACAGTCATTTGATCAGAGGTGCAAAAAGTGCAAAAACCATACCATACCAAAGTAACCCCAGACTACGGTATATTAGCATAACTAGAAATTTCCCCGTCTTGTTCTTGTTTAGTTGACGTGGCCATATTCTGGTCACTGTCTCTGGTTTCTCGCTAGCCGGTCGCTGATTGGCTAATCCAAATGATTAGCCAATCAGCGATCGGCTTGCGAGAGACGAGAGACAGTGACCAGAATATGGCCCATGGAGACTTCGGTCTAGTTGGCTCTTCTCCGACTCGCAAATCCCCCCGTCAATCATGACGGAATACTTTTTATGATAAAAGTAGATATTTCAAGAAATTCATGAAGAGTTAATATTTCTATAAATTATTAAATTCACTTGTTTAAAGCAAATTTGTGTGAAGTTTGTTGCTTATTTGAAATAAGTTCATGGATTCTTTCTATGAAGGACGGCACTCGCGCTCACATTATTTATTGATAAGTCATTTCGTGTTTGATTTATATTAATAAAAAATCCCCCCCAATGAGTGAGAAAAAGCAAGCATTTTACATTTGTTTCGTAATACATGCACACAACGCACACTTTAATCGGCTAAAGCGTCTCACCTCATCAAGCTCCACGACACCAGCGCCTCTGTCGGTCAAGAGTAAAATGATGTTATATTTTACTTTCCTACTTGTTACGTATATAACACGGTCAAGTATTGAAATCCCGTGAAATATGACTCTCCGGATATTTCGTTTTGCAAATTTTGCCGTTTTGAAGCTCCCCGAACCCCAAAAACTAAATTTAGCATAACTTGTATATAGTGTTGATGTTATTATATTTTGGTGGTTAAAGCAGAGTCGATAGATATACTGGTCTTGAGGTAAGCTCTCTAGTTAATGCGTCAGGTTGTCGATAGCTTCCGTAGAATCGCACTACGGCGAGAAGTTGGTTTATCTATTTGGTTAGTAGGTAGTTTTACCGTTTCCAAGCATTTTTGTAAATCGCTTGATGTTTAGTGATGTTATCCGACTTGTTTTTTAAACTCTGATGTTTTCCATAGTTCAACCGAAATTCACCAAACTGCGAAAATATGAAGCAATTGTCTGGCTTTATATTCCAAAAAACAGCACCCAAAAATTTTCAAAATATCTGTTTATTAAGCATCAAAGATTAATTAAGAGTACTTTAATCTTTGATGCTAAAGATTATATCTTATCCGAGATTAATTATATTTTCCGAACAATAATTTTTATTACACTTTTCTTTTTTATCTGTACTTTTCATATTTTTTTTAAAAATCAACAATAAATCACTTATAATCTTAGTAATTCGAACACAAATCATTTATGGTATTCATTCAGTCACTTGGCAAATCTCATCATTAAATTTTATTTAGTTGATACGTGTTCATCGTATTTGTACACGTTTCGGGAATTTTGTGCCCCTCCTCAGCCAACTTTAGATTACAGATCACTGAAAGTTAAAACCATAAAATTCCTTTGCACATTCAACTTCTTGTTATCCATTAAATTACAGATCTTTGTAAGGTTTCAACCTTTAAAATTGTTACACATTTAACTTCTTCGATTTTGATGTAAGACGAGTAATTGGATGATAAGAAGTTGAATGTGTAACGGAGTTTTATGGTTTTAACTTTCAGTGATCTGTAATCTAAAGTTGACTGAGGAGGGGCACAAAATGCCCGAAACATGTACAAATGCAATGAACACATATCAACTAAATAAAATGTAATGATGAGATTTGCCAAGTGATTGAATGAATAGGATAAATGATTTGTGTGTTCGAATTACTAAACAATTACTGGCACGGTTTCAAAAATACACTTATAATCTTTCATTTGTGACATATTACTGCTAAAACTGCTCGTCCAGGCTAACTATATTGAGAAACCCAAAAAATGATGTTTATTGATGTAATTTACTTAACTAGTAAGTATTCATTATAATAGATGTTCACTGTATTTTTTCAGCAATAAATAAATCAGACAAAGTAGTTTTCTGTTAAATTATGTATTTCCACAGAAATTCTAATACAAGTTATTGTTCTTTCATTTCTCTTAAACGTCTAACTGCACTCCTTACAGTTGCAGCTGCAGTTGTGCTATAAAAAGAAAAAAAAATTGAAACATTAAATTATTTTAATCTCAAAGAAACAATACGAATTTTCTATTAAAGAAACATACATTTATAGTTTGAATTTTGTTTAAAGCTCAAATAAAAAAAAAAGTACAGTAAGGGCTCACTTAACATTGGTTCTTGTAAACTTCAACTTTAATGATATCACAACAAAAGAGCAAGAATTATCAGAGTTACAAGTCACCATTCACATACTAAAAGTAAAAGGAATTGTTATTGGTTAACTTGAACTCTTAACTCCAATCCTTGATTGTAAATATGGCCATACACAAAACAACTTATAACAAAACCAATTTTATCATAACTTAATTGAAGTAAAACAAAATTACAGTTCCTATGGCAAATTTCTAGTCACAAAGCATCAAACTTCTGAATAAAGACCCAAAGCAATCCTAATATTAAATATTGAAATAAATGTGAGCTAAACACTTGTTTTTATTATTCTTTCTTAAATATAAGATAATTATTTATCCAATATTTTGTGAATAAGTAAGTGACTGTATAGTATGCAGAGGAAAGCTTCATTCTCATCATTGGTGATGGGTAAAAATAAGCAATAAAAAATTTTTACAAAGTGAAAATTGTAAGGAACACCCCCATCACCATACAGTTCAAAAACTATCAATTGGCAATTCTAAACCACATAGGGTGCTATATAAATTTAAAATGGCGAGGCAAACAAGGCAAATTTGTTTACAATTTACATTGACATTACTTGTTTTTAATGTGGATGCAGGTTCATGTTACTTGAAGAAGATAAAAGTATAGTGAATGCAAATTATATTAATCAGATTTCAAGAAACAAATTCAATTATTCTTTTTGATCATGTTTGCAAACTCCACTTAATTTCCATCTCATAGAATCAGTTTTACTATTTATAAAGAAAATACAATAATTGTAAAAGATTACAAATGTACTTTTAGTTTTCTCAACAAAACAAAAATGAAACAGTGTTAAGTAAACACTTACTGCAGTTTCCTGTACAGTTGATTTAAAAAGTGATTTGTGAATTTATTTTCTGAATGAAATGTAATGAACTCACATAATGCTTATGAATTGTAATAAATAATACCTGTAAACATATGCTCCACCAGCTACAGTCTTTTGACACGCTCTACATTTCCATATACCCACACATGTTCTTTTCATTGTTTCCTATTAACAGATATATATATATATATTAAAAAATAATAATAAACAGAAAATCTCAATAAATTCAAAAAATTTTTAATTTTACTAAAATAGAGAAATAAACGTTTATAAAATATCCTACAAGTTACAAAAATCTTTACTTTTAAAAAGATTCAAGCTAAAATACAGTCAAACCTCAGTTCACAAACTTAATTTTTTCCTAAGTTATTCAGAAACTGATTTGTTCTGAAACCAAAACAAAATTTCCCATAAGAAACAATGTAAAATAGATTAATCCATTCCTGAACCCCCTTTTAACCATTTTAGCTGTATTTCATCCATAAAAATGCCTACAAATGCAATAATATATTATATACAACATACCAACTGAATATCAAATACAGTAGTTTATAAATAAGAAAGACAATTTCATTCACCCTTATCCATGCTGAGAAATCTTGATGGCACAGATGAAGGATGGAGAGGAGGTGGAAGGGAAGGGATGTTATTTCTTGGAATGGGAGTTCCCCTCCATAATAATAATAATATTGTGAGGATTGGACCAAATAAAATTATAAAAAGAAATTAAAATTAAACAAAGAAAGCCTCTATTTTCCCCCTCTTTTGAAATCTTATAAATAAATGGATGAACACATTTCCTTCCCCAGAGCCGTTTCCTATCTCTCAGGAACTTGAGAATGAATCACAGGGATCTTATTGCAAAAAAATTTGCGAATGGCAAAAGGGGATAACGTGACTAGAGGTATAAAAGAAGGGCGACAGAAGAAGAAGGTGGTCCAACATCGCCATCCGTCTAAAGCCGTCAGAAGAAAGAGGGTCCCTCATGTCCAGATCTAGGTCACGTCATTCTGTAACCACAACCCTAGAGGTATGATAATGAATATTGTAAACTCTCTCTCAGCATGCACCCATTCACTTCCGCATGTAAGTTCGATAGAATCTTAAAGTTAGTTATGTTATCTAAGCTATTGTTTAATAAATTTTTGTTTTATTGTTAAATGGTGTCTTTTACTTGAATATTGCCAACGTCTTACCGACAACCCCTCTCACCTCCTCCACTCGACCTGACAGAAAGAATCCCAATCCTTCGGGATAGAAAAAAAATAAACAAGCCATCCTATGACCAGTGGGCAGGCTTAACCAGCCTGTAATGCGACCCGAAAGAGGTATGACTCCATCCTACCTCAGGGGCTCACAATATCAAATATATGCACTTCATTAGTTTTTTTCTCTTACGTTCTGGATTTTCTGCTTCTCACTAGCAGATTCTGCTTGGGAGTCATTAGGCCTCTTTTTCACTAAAAATTTATGTAATGAAATTTGCTTTTGCCTACATTTCACAATGTTACAGAAGTGAGACATAGCATTGTCATTGAAAAGGTTAATGACACAACTTGCTACTGCCTTATTAGGGTATTGATAATATTACAAATATGATGTCATTGACAACTATAGTAAGCTCTCTTTCAAATCCCTCAAAGTATTTCTCTGCAACACAATCAGGCCAGAGTTCCTCCATGCTGAATTCAAGATCCTGCAAGTCACTTGCTACCAGGCCCTGTCAATATGACCTAAGCAATGGAAGATATTGAAGTGGTTCTTCCAGAAGTCACAGAGAGAGAGAGAGAACTCCGTGTCAGAGATGATCTCAAAGTACCTTTGAAAAAGTGGTTTGGTGTAATACTTTTTAAAGTTAGAAATATATAAATGAACTTATCAATGTATAGATACTAAGCCAAGCAATTGCTGAAATTAATCAAACTATTAATATGCTTTAATTAATAATTAAACTAAATAATTTGGTACTAGAGGTAGAAGTCAAGCAATTGCTGAAATTAATCAAACTATTAATATGCTATAATTAATAATTAAACTAAATAATTTGGTACTAGAGGTAGAAGTTAGGCACCATCTCTTATCTAATTTAATAATTGTAATTTATTAAATAATTTAGAATATTCTTGAAGAAAAGAACTAATGTCTATCTCTAGTACAGTAGAACCTCGATTATCCGCCCTAATTGGGGACTGGGGTTGGTCGGATAATTGAAAAGTATGAAAAAATCCATTATTAGTGTAGTATATTATTATATCCCATGTAATTAGTATATTAGTATATCACTATTAACCTACTTTGCGTTAAATTTTCATCGATGTTAAGCCTAACAAAAATTTTTTAAAATAATAATCGTCGCTATTGTATCGTTAAAAATTAGAAAATTAAGCTTCGTTTAAATACTGGCTCCCTTTCATGGTCGAATGAGTGTTGCCAGCTAAAACACGTAAAAATAATATTAAAGTAGCCAAGACATAGCCAAATATTGTAGCGCCACATCACTAGCGGACATTTGAAATTTACCGACTAGGACGATCGGTTAACCGAGGGGTTGGTTGATCGGGGGTCGGATAATCGAGGTTCTACTGTACCAACATTACTTAGTTTCTAATTATTAATTATAGCATATTAATAACCCAATTAATTACAGCAATCATTTAACTTGGTAAAGTTAGAAATGATGTGTTGATCCATTGGCTGAATCAGTGGAGTCATATTAGGAGGCAGAAACTTCACGGTAATGAAGTTGAACTCTCCCAGTAAATTGGTCTCCATGCCTGAAGTAGGTAGGAACATTGTCCATCAAAAGCAGGCATCTCAGTGGCAAATTATTTTCATTAAGATATTTCCTCCCACTAGGAGCAAAAAGTTCATGGACCCATTCCAGGAAAAACTGTCTGGTCACCCAGACTTTACTGTTAGCCTTCTACAACAGACAACTTACTTTTCATAAAGTTATTTCTCTTAAACACATGGGGGTTCTCAGATGATACGTAAGCAACAGTTTCACCTTAAAATCACCACTAGCATTGCAACAAAGCAAAAGAGTTAGTCTGTCCATCATTGGTTTGTTTCTAGGCAAAACCTTTTCTTCTTGGGTTATGTACATTCTGTTTGGCATTTTTTCCAAAACAATCCAATTTCATCACAATTAAACACTTGCTGGGGAATAAAACCACTCAACAATCACATTTGCACCAAATCCATTCACAAACTTTTCCTGCACTTTTTTGTCCACACTTGAAATCTCTTCATGTCAAGTCACTTTGATTCTCAAACTTTTCAAACAGCCACAATTAGCCTTAAACACACCAGTCTCAGAACTTGAACCTGTGGTTTTCTTGAGCAAATTTTGATGCAAAAGCCTTGCTTTCTCACAAACAAGTCTCCAAAATATTGTCACCAGCCAACTGCCTTTCATTGATCCAAAATCAAGATGTAACTTTTCTACTTTTAAGGTCTGTAATCTTTGCTTAGTGATCATAGCCACTCCATTGACAACATTAACATCCTTTATTGCTTTCTTGTTCTTGAGAATGATACAGATCAATGACTTTCCCAAGTCAAACTTCATAGCCAGATCTGAGACATGAATGCCATTTTCATGCTTCCATATTATCTCTTTCTTCACCTGTTGTTATTTTCACTCTCCCTTTTTGTCTTTATGCTTACACTAGCTTTCTTAGGCCCCACAGTAACTTTTGGAATAAACAAATAAAAAACTAGAAGAAATAATGCACAGTAAAAGAAAAATACCAAAGTCAAAGAACACTTTGCTGCAAAGTGATGCTATGCTGCCAGCTCACAAATTAGAAACACATAGATGGACAATGAGAAAATATGCAATGTAATGACTAAAGAATTCAATGCACCACTGGCTGAAGCATGGTACAACAATAATCCCACAATTTACATTTTCTGTTTAATGCAAGTGACTTCATTAGTTTTGATTTCAATTTACCTGACGCAGATTTCCTTTGTTTCTTGTGCTATAGTTTATAATTTAATTTAAAAATGAAAAGAGTTAAATGCATAATTTATGGAAAGAATAATTTGCTACTGTTCACTTTTCCTGAAAATTCAGAAAAGTAATTAATAATATTTTTGTATGATAATTAAATTTTTTTTTCTGATTCACAGATACCCATGTTTTCCTAAAAGATGTTCATTAATTAAAAGTTCTTGCATTTAATTAATATTGTCAAATAAAATGCCAAACATTATGTACTAATGAGATAAATAAAAATATATATTTAAATAATAAATTTTTGTTATTTAGAGTTAAGCACCTTTAAATACAAATTATTGAATGTCATTTATATTACACAAATCTCGATTATTTAATGCAGTTTTTATTAATTTAATTTAAATTGTGACACATACAAAAACCCAGTAGTAGTATCTTACCCACATGTGCATTGAAATCTAATTTTAATAACACTGTCATTGATGGTTTGTGATGGCCAACTTCCTATATATCCTATGTTTAAGAAAGTCTGTAGCCTCACCAATTAATGACAGGACTACTGATTCAGTAATGGTGCTGAGATTCACCTCATGTCATTAGATATCACATCAGTGGTTGGCTCTGCCGAGTAGCTTGTTTGAAAACAGAGTTATTGTATGACAACTGGAGCAAATATGGTGTTCAAAATTTTGTTCATAAACCAAGGTTTGACTGTATAGGAGAGGTAAAATTAAATATCAAGTAATTTGGCCTCATTACAGCCAACATAATCCAGCAATTGTTTGGCATTAATCTAATAATCAAGTTAATAAACTTTTATATCTGAAAAGCTAAAATTTAATAATACTAGGAGTGTATACCTGCAAAAAAAAATAATAGAGAGGTTGAGGCGCACGTTTTAAACGTGTACATGTGATGTTCGGCGCCGCTTTCCCGTAAGCCTAAAAGTTTGACGATGGTGTATGGACTGTCGAGCGTGATTCCACTGACTATCCAAACACCATTGTCAAACTTTTAGGCTTACGGGAAAGCGGCGCCGAACGTCACACGTACACGTTTACACGTTTAAAACGTGCGCCTCAACNAGAAACTTAATCCAAGATTTTGAGGACTTACATCCTTAAATATTAAATCCACTGTAAAAAAAATAGAAGAAAACCTAACCTATCCCTCTGGGAGTTGATGTCGAACTACGGTCATC